CTCTCTCTCTCCCCTCGCGTCGTGTAAGCGTTTTCGCGCTGTGTTCGCACCCTCCCCCGGAGCCATGACGCGGGTCACAGGCCCCGGCGGGACATTCATCTCTTGTCGGAACACAATGGGCAGCGCCCCGCCCTGCTCCGCCCCAGTCGAGGGGGCTGCAAGCCTTTTCGATACTGTTTGCATTCGCGCCCCCCAACCCCATCCCTTAGCGCCTCCTCCAGGGCCATGACTCAAGCCGCCACACCACTCCTCGGCTGCCGGATAGGGGGAGTCGTGGCGGACGGCGAGCGGCGCGGTGGTAGTCCAACACTGCAGCGTGCTGGTGGGGCGGGTGGCCTATCGTCGCATTCGCGGGCGCTACCAGTGAGGCGGGTCGCCTACTATCTCGTTCGCAGGCGCTAGCAGTGAGGCGGGTGACCTACCACCACATTCGCTGGCGCTACCAGTGTGCCGTGTGGCCTACCACCGGGTTAGCGGGCGTGACTTTTGAGGCGTCTGGCTCACCTGGTCATTCGAAGGCCCGAAGCAGTGTGTAACTTGACTACTTTCTTTGGGCCATTCTTTTACGAGTCGAAAGCAGTACCTTGTACCTCGGCGGCATCCAAGAAGGAAACCTGCTGATGAGTGTATTTTCCGCCTCCGGGCGAAACGAGTTCGCGCGCTCGGCCTTTGAAAGGTGTAAATTTTACACCTTTTCAGTTTTACCACCTTCGCAAGATGAGAGTGCGCGGGGCTGGAGCGAGAGAGACGGAGAGTGCTCATTCCGAGGAGGCGCTCTTGTTTCCCTTATCTCGCTTCGTAACCCTCATTGCTGACCCTTCGTTAACCGCCCTGGCCCGGCTCTTAAGGAGGGGGATAGAGGGTGGTGGAGAGCAGGACCGGGGCCGACCTAAACTACTCAAGCGGGCGCTTCGCAAGGGGGACGGGACGACTAGCAAGGCGCACGGCGGCGGCTGGGGGCCGGGCCGCGGCTCAGCGCTGCGAAGGTTACCGCTCTGTTTGCCCCGGCGCCTTCTTAGTTCCAAAGGAGCCGACCGAGGCAGACAGAGAGAGAGAGAGAGCCGCTTTAATGAGAAAATTCTTGCGTTGGTTCGTAACACACTCCATTTCTACTACTGGTAGTAATCCCCTGCCCGTCTCCTGCCACGATTCCACCCCTCTGTGCTTCTCTCTCTCTCTCTCTCTCTCTCTCTCTCTCTCTCTCTCTCTCTCTCTCTCTCTCTGTGTCATCGCTCTTTCTCTCTCGCTGTGCAAGTTCGCTGGCGGGATGCACAACGCATATAATGAGTCCCGTTTACCCCTTCCTTCCCCCCTCTCCAATAACGAGCCCAGCTGTAACTACTTTTGCAAGGCGTTTATGCTAATGCGTTTGGTCTCTATTCATTAATTACGGCTCGCTATGGACGCACCTGGATTGGAGAGGGTCGCGGCACGGCCCTAACGGTCCTCATCAGGATGCAGGCCGGACCAAGGACCCCGGCCCGGCGTGGGGTCAGCCGGGGCGACCCTCCCTGGCCTCCCTGCCCCCCTTCCCTCACCCTTACACCACCACCGTCCTGCTTCCTACCCGTTCACCGTTCACACTTCAAAGGTATCGAGGACTGCCCGCTCCCCAACCCCCCCTCGCTCCGGATTGCGCTCTCAGCCTGGTATTGGGCCGCGCCCGGGTTCGCTCTGATGCCGAGTATTTACGTAGGGTTTTGGCCGGCCTCTGTGCTTCAGAGAGAGGAGGGGTGGGGTGAGGGGGGAAGGGAGGGGGTTCGGTCTGATACGAGAGTTCAGCCACAGCAGGCGCGACTATTGTGCCGTGTTGTACAAGCAAAGCGCGACTGGGTCCACGTCATTGTGGCGGAGCCGCTGGCTGCTCTCTGAGCCCAGGGGATGAGGAGGAGGCGGAAGAGGGGGGGGCTGACCTCGGCGTTTGCGGTGTTTAGACACTGCCGGGGGAGAGTGGGCTCGAGACTAGCAGCGCTAGTCACGGGGATGGATGCTTGAGGAATTCCAAGCCGATGGTTCGCCCCGGCATTCCGCACGCGCCCTTCGTGCTGGCTGCCTGCCGGGGCGGGGCGGGCTATCCCGGCTCGCCGGCCAGGGTGAGCGTGGTAAGCGGGCGCTCTCCTCTGAGCAGTCGCAGGCCCGCCTTTGGCCCGCTACGAGGAAGCCTACTAGTCCCAATCGGAAGTTATTTAGCTGGCAACACATTAATGATTTCGGATTTTTTCTATTTTATTGCTTTTTCAGCCGCTTGAACGCACACCGTCCTATAAAACGACGCCGCTCGTGGCGGTCGTGGTGCTTTTTCGTTTGGACTGTGTCAACATCTGGGGTTTAGCCTACTACTCCTGCACAGTTTTAATATTCTTCGAAATAGACGCAATTTGACATGATGTGATTTCATTGTCATAACGTATTTTTATTGTGTACTAGTTAAAAAATTGCTTTGCCATTTCCCTTTCTCCCCATCTCTGGAGATCTCCGTGGGCTGGTTCAAGGTTTGATGCACACCTCAAAAAACACCTCAAAAACACCTCAAAAACACCATTTAGACAAATATTTACCGATCGATCGGTCGAATTTGGCTTAACTTGCTGTTGGAGGCGAAATCTGTCCGAATACTTTATTTTACATTTTGTCAATTAATTTTGTCCCTTTTTTTTCTGCAGACCCTCCGGAGGTGAGCCTGACGGGCACGCCGACGTCTGACCTGGAGGAGAACGTGGACCGCGTGCTGCTGGCGTGCAAGGCGGACGCCAACCCGCCGGCCGCCGTCTTCTGGGAGGCGACGGACCGCGGCAACGAGCTCGTCTCCTCGCAGGAGACGCTGCAGTTCCTGCCGGTGACGCGCAAGAACGCGGGCCGGTACACGTGCCGCGCCAAGAACGAGGTGGGCTTCTCGCCCCCCGTCACCGTCTACCTCGACGTCAAGTGTGAGTAGAGGATCCTGGCTGAAGCCGATGGGTTGGGCACTTCCGGGTACTTCACTCGGAAAATGCCAGCAAGAAATCAAGGACAAATCCGGGACAAATCATTAAG